GGGCGGAGCTCCGGCGCTTCTCCACCGGATCGCCGGCCCCGCCTTTTAAAAGTTCCCCCGCCCCGGGTCCTCTCCGAGATCTCCGGCAATCCCTAGTCCCACGGGGCGGGCAACCGGCAGCTGGGGGTCGCCCCCGCCCTCTGGGCTTCTTCTCCGGGCCTCTGCCGGGAGCCCCTGAGTGCTCAGCCGTGGCCCCTCTGCTACCCGGCAGACAGAGAGTTTTGTCTGCTGCCTGGCGGGAGCTCCCGGCGCTTCCCCACCGGGTCGCCCGGACCCGCCTTTGAAAGTTCCCCCCGCCCCGGTCCTCTCCGAGATCTCCGGCAATCCCTAGTCCCACGGGGCGGGCAACGGCAGCTGGGAGACCTCCGTGCCCTCCGTGTCTCTCTCTGGGACCCTCCGGGCGCCCCGAGCACCAGGCCGGGTCTCCCCGCCAATGGCGGGGAGAGACTCTCCCCGCGGGCTCAGGTGTGCAACTCCAAAGTTTCCCTCTGCGTTTAGGAGTAATTGCGGGGGGTTTAAGTAGGGTTCTGGTCACCTGTTTCCACCGTCGCTCCTCTGTTGTGTTCTCGCTCCTGCCCTAGATGTGTGTGGATCCTCTGGGGGCGTCCGTTGGAAGAAAGCCGCTTGCGGGTACTAGGCTGCCCGTCGGGGTCGGAGAGTTTTCACCTATTTCCACATCCTCCCGGAGGAAAGTCCGTCCGCCTTCCGATGTATAGTCGCGTGGGTGTCTCAGACGTCCTGAGATGCTGTCTGGATATCCTTTGTCAAGCGATAAGTGTCCAAATAATTGTAGACTCGAAGGGGGAGAGACAAAGAGGACTACTCATGGCGCCATCTTGGAATTCCTCCAACATATCTGGAAACTGTGCTTCTAATATACGTGTTTAGTCATGTTGATGTGGGAACCTTGTAAATGTTTTTACCGGCCCTCCGGGCCCGCGCCGTCGCCCGCAGCGGCCTCCGAGTCCCACCTATTAACGCCTTTAAATCAAACCAAATTGAAGAACCAATTTCAGAAACCTCATCTAAAAATAATTCAGAAATCTCATCCTTAGGTATCTGTTCCTCTAGAGTCATTTTGTAGAAAAAAAAAAAAAAAGGTCTGCTTTCCTTCAAACAATGGAAGACACAATCACACAAGCTTGTGACTACAGAAGAATGGAATTCCTCCCAGGAGCAGAGCCAGCCTCCACTAAATGCAGCAATCAATGCATTTTCAATTCAGTCACCATCAACAAACCCCTTTTAGTAGTTCCTTCAACAAAGTACCATGCTTCTGTCCCTATTCCTTCAGCTCCCTAAAATCTAATTATAGGTGCGATTGAATCTTGAAAGAGCTTCTCATCTAATCTCTGACTAAATACAATTTCTTTGGCACATCTCTCATTAATTTATCAAGTACATAATTGGAAATACCACCAGATTCTGTCTTTTGCTATTTCCAAGGTATGCATTCATTAAATTATTCCTGATCTGAAGAGAATTCTTGACTTTTATTGGTCCAAGTACAGAGAGAGAGTGCGGGAAAATAGCCAGACTAGTAGAGAGGGCTACAAACAGGCTATATCTGTTCATCCCTTATATTCCAGTTTCCAGTCACACCTTTGACTTTTCCTCACTAACCATACTTCACCATTTATTGTCAACATTCCATGCTCCTTCCAATATCATGTGTTTTAACATATGCTACTTTCCTTTTGTTTGAAAAACAAGTCTCCTGTCTCTATTGCTCCAATCTTTTCTGATGCTAACCTAATCCTGTCTTTAGGCAAATGCTCCTCCTAGAATAGATAAAATCCTCCTATTGTTTCCTTTCACCAGTCCCTGTATTTTCCTTTACAGAATTTATCACTATAATAAATCTATGTTTTTCTTTCCTACTAGAAATAAATTCAGATTATAGGCACCCTGCTCAAGGGGAACAGAAGACAGGTTGGAATAATGAGTTCATATCTGTGTGCATTAAATTCTGTCCTAGCCTGCCTTCTACTTGGCCTTGATATCACCAGTGCAGTTAGCTCCACCCAGGGCACAGAAGCCTATATCTGCAGTGAATGAGCAAGCAACTTGAAAGAAAGGCAAGAGGATCATTAGGTCACTATTCTCTAATCTAGTTTCTCACCCAAGCCCCAAGCCCCAAGCCACAAGCCACAAGCCACACTCTGACCCAAAATGCAGCCTCTGCCACCACCCCATACATACCAGTTGAACATAGGCTTCCCATATACTCAATGTTTTAGTTTTTATTGTTGATTTTGTTGTTAGTTCCAAGAGTCCATATTTCTTTAGGTAGTTTTAAAGGTTGTATTTGTGGGATAGAGCAAGCATCCGATATCTTTTTGCCATCTTCTCACAAGTGGCCATTGATGGAGCCCATGTCTAGTCATTACCAGTTCAGATGGCACTTCACTGATTTTTGTGAGTATCTTAGGACAACTCAACTTTTCTTATGCATACTGGCTTGGAAGGGTCTATGTGACCCTTGCTAAGATCCCACTGCCTAAATGGGTGACACAGCCGTTTCTTCATCCACAGTAATATTTCTGTTTTACCTGTACCTGTTGAGCACAGGAATCCTAAGAAGAATCATATGCTTCCATGGCCACCTACATGTAAACACACCATATCATCATTTCTTCTTTGATGTCCATCCACCTTCATAAGAGCCCTGCAAAATGATTCTAGCATACTCTTTGTATGATCTACCAGACGAATAGGATATTCTTGCTCTTATTCTTCATGAGTTCTGCCAAACATTTTGTCTATGATATGGACGCTTTAAGCTTTTGGATTCAAAGCCAGAAGGAGACCATTAAAATCTTTTGTTTCTTCTGTCATGTCACCCTTCAAACACAAAGTGTAGAAGTGCATGAATAAACACAGAATGAACAATGGTAGTCTAGAAAGAATTACAGTGATGGGAAAAAAAATCAGTGGCCATTTAAAAATATTATCCAACCAAACATTAGCTTTTAGATATCTAAATTCTACTGTTGTGATGGAAGCATTATTTAATTGACTTTTAAAGGATGATAGTCAAGATGCTTCTGTCAGTGGGATTACATTACTACATGTGGAAGACCTAAGTAGAGAAGCTTCTTTTATAAGCTGCTTCCCATAACTCCTCAGTCTGGGGCTTCCAACAACAGGGTCATCATAAAGCACAAAACATCTGTATGTAGGAGAAGACACACAAACTCAGACTGTGGAATAACATTGACAATAATGTACATTTATTGAGCATTTGCTGGGGGGAAGGACTCTAAAACTTGTGTTCTTCATGTAAATTATCTCATTTCCTCTTTATTACATCTCCCCATGAGCACGCTATTGTTACTGCCATTTCACAGATGAGAATAATGAAGCTCATAAAATTTGAAAGTCTTCCTCAAGACAACAAATCTAGTGAATGTTAGAGCCAGGGTTCAAATCCAGCTTTGGTAAACTCTAAGACGTGAGCATTTAATGGGCATATAATGCTTCCAGCATCAGAGTACGCTTGTTACAATGACTATGATTCATTTTGAGGAATTTAACAATACAGTGATCCTTTTTTGTTTGTCTGTTTTCATTAGCTCAGCTTTTGTAAGTCTTCTAACGAGGAATGAGGTGCTTAGTGTGGTAAAAAGATATTTTAATCACTCCCTAGGCAGGAACTTCAAGGCGCTCTCTTCTCTACCTCTCTATCAACAGGTGACAGTATACAAATTAGATTACTGAATGCTAGAAATGGTAAACTCAGTGGCAAATTAACATCAAAATATGAACGTTAAGAAAGAGTTTTTATTAGTGATATTGAAGGTAGTCAAGACATATGATTTTCCTTACACATGGTATAAAAATTAAGGTATTCATAATGCTTAGGTGTGTTGGGGCCCAGGGCAGGCCACTCCAAAATATCCCAATATCCAAATATCCAAAATATCCCACAATAGCATATTGACCATTTTGAATTAAAATTCCTTGAGAAGTAATAAGGGCATTCTGACCCTCCTGTCTCTGTTCCCCTTGAAAGCAGGAAATCAATCTCCCCTGTGAAACAGGCTCTGCCTGCATCCAGATCACCAGGGAGAGGGGATTCCGGGCTGAGAAGCCTGTGTAAACAAACCTTGCAAATGTACTACCTCAAGCCTAAACTCTGCCCAAATTCCTCACTAATTACATACCCCCAACCTAAGTTTCTTTGTCCTGTCAATTCTTCACAAATTTCTTAGGTTTTTTGTGTAAAAGAACATACATACACTGCCTGCTTTGTTCACTCTCAAACATTGTTTCTCTATGATCTCCAATACATACGTATTCAGCTGGGCTTTTCTCCTATTGATCTGGTTTTGTTTTAATTTTATTATTAGTCCAACGATAAGAACTCAAGAAGGGAAGAAAGGGAATTTTCCCTCGCCCCGACAGGTGAAATTTTGAATTGTTCTCAAACATTGCTGAAGGATTTTGGCTCTCTGATGTACACTACAAGGAGAGCAGAATCCTGCCTCTGGAACTGTGGCTTTAGGAGAATACATCTGACAAGGAGATGATCAGAGCACCCCAAAAAGTGAAGAGCTGTATTTCCTGAAGGCTGAAGAGCAGAGGATAGAACCTAATTTGAGTATTTGGCTGATGTGAAAGGCTTAGTTAATAAACGTCTGGAAGTATAGAAGTTTATGTTCTAACACTTATTTCTTTACTAAAGAATAGCCCCAGGAGCTGTGTTTGACCCTTTGGCTCAGGCTGGATTTCAGCTTAGGTAGAATCAGGATGCCATCAGAGAACAATGAAATTTCAAGCATCCAAGCTTTTAACATCTTAGTAAAGTGTTTAATACTGGTTGGGTTGCGAGCAGTAGAGATGATGAGGGCATCTCAACATATGCTATTATTCCCGGGAAAATCAGTAGAATAAAGATGCTGTTTTTAAAAGTAAGAATGAAATGAAAATATATTGTTTCACCTGATTTTGAAAACAATTAACCAGAAAAAAAGAATAAACATCAATCTTTTCTTCAGAAAAGGAATGATACAACTACCAAAACTGATGACACCATGAGAATGCAGTTATCCCACGAACACAGTCAGCTTTCAGAACCTTTGGGGACCAGCACGTACCCAACTGAGTGTTGTCCCCAGACTCCTCAGATGCCTCCACCAATCCCATCTAGCATTTCCTTAACAAAAGTACGAGGTTCCTATTTCCAATGTTTCCCTCCCTATGATGTAATAACAGGGATCAACAGAACCTTGAAAGAGCTATTCACTAATTCCCAACTACATGCAATTCGATATTTATTTAAATAACTCATTTATTTATCAAGTGTATATTTTGAGATGCAAATTCCAACTCTTCTTATGCCATCGTCTGCATTAGGATATTCTATGACCTAGTGGGCAGCTAATCATCCCTATTCTGTACTGCATATTAGTAATTTGCTTGTTTAATTTGATTTTTGTGTTTCCCTCAATAGGTAGTGAAAGACACAGCTTACAGTGGAACAGGTGGAGAAATACAGAGCCAACCAAAACACTATCACCAATTCTTTCTCTTTTGTTTTTTATTGTGTAAATAATAACATTTTAGAAAATTCAGGAAATGTAGGTGCGTAGACAAAAAATAATTAAATTTTAACTATTTGAAATCTATCCTCTATCAAATGCCACATTTCAGTAAAGTCTTTCTGATTTTACCGTTTTGTTATATGTATACAAAGAATATCGTTTTTTCCAGATTGGATCACATTACACATTTTTTTCTATAACCCAGAGTTTTATTTTCACTTACTAGATTTTGAAGTGCTATTTCACTCAACCAATACACATTTAAATTATCATTTTAATATATAAGAACAATTGCATGGGTGTTTAATACCCCTATAGGTAAATAATCCTGCATTATTTGACTTTAGGTTATTTCCAGTATTCCCGATACCCACACTGAACATGATAAGAACATGAGTCCATCAGGTCTTCTTTCATGACCCTCAGAGTAATACATAATTTCCTCCTTACGTCCTGTGCACTTCTTATGAGGGTGCTGCTATCGCTCCTATTAAGAAATTTCTTGTTACTGACTAACATGCACTGGGAATGAGCTTCCTGATGTTAGGGTGACTTGACTACATTGATGAGGAGTCAATCAGAATTAAGCCTCATGACCCAATGAACTGTAATTTTCCAGGTGAGATCACAAGGAGCACTGCCAGTCTGTGGAGGCAGCCAGTCTGTCTCCATGTACTGGTCTCTAGGAATCCCACGGCCCACCGTTGCCCAAGTAGTTCCTCTTACAGATGAGTAGTCCCCCCTCCAATTCAAAGTGCTCTCCTAAAATTCAGAAATGGTGCCGATCACTGAGTACACAGGAGGTTAGAGGAAAATCCCCTGGCCCCTGGCTTCTCCACTGGCATGCTTCTCCTAAGGGATCACATTCTTGTAAGGGGCTTCTCCTAAGCCTCTATCCAGAACACCTGCCATTATTCCAACAGGAGAAGGTGGAGAAGGAAAAATAATTTCCCCTCTACCCTCTGAGTTCTTGACTGAGACCCCTGTAATAAAAGACAGATTAACAAGGGAAAAACGAGCAGAAGTTTATTAACATGTATACCATGTATACATAGGAAATACCCTGGATAAATGAGTAACTCCCTGAAGTAGCCTAAGCCATCAGCTCAAACATCATCTCCAGCTAAAGTCAAAAAAAAGGAAAGGTGGGAGGAGGCCAGTTATGAAGAGGTTTCCAGTGAAAAGCAAGATAAACAAAGGTAATGTTTGTTGTGCCAATTTCACCCAGTTCCTCTTCCATTGATAAGATTCTCTTGCCATTTATTTAGAGCTATCCTTCTCCTCCTGGTACTCAGGGAGGGAGACACCCTTACAAATGGAGATTGCCTTTATGAGTAAATTTCACTTACAAGGGACAAATTCAGTGCTGTTTTTAGAGCTTCTCTTGTGTCTGCTGCTTTTCAAAATAATCCTATGCTGAGGAAGCATATTTTGGTGTAGCTGATTCTGCTACTCTTCAAAAGCATCCATCCAGGACATCTCTAAATAAGAGAAGTTCCTGGGATCCTTGCAGTGACTTTCTTCCTAACCCCTTTCAACACAGTACTGCTTTCTTGGAAAAGGGCTTTGTGATTTGGGTCATTAAATTGCCACATCTTCCAGGATTAGTTCCAGATGAAATCAATTGTTCCTCACTGGAGCCATTCCCCACTCTCAGTGATATTAAAGGTGACTTATTTTCTTCCATATTTATATCTTACTTTGCTCACTAAAATGAGTTGATGGGATAAATTAATATTATTTTTTCATCTTTACCTCTATTAGAAATCACTACACAATAGCATCACTATTGCCCACTGCCCCTACACTGTACATAGCTCTCCCTAGGAGAAATACTTTTTCTCTTGAGTTAATCCTTCTTAAAGAAAAATATACTTTTTTCAAAACTCATAAAACAGTGAAAAGAAGAAATAATATTGCTGTTTAAATCTTCTCCATTTTTTCCGTTGGCTAAATAATACCATGTCAGCCATATTTGTCTAGTTTTTTTCCAAGTTCACCTGATTATGGTGTTGATAGCGGCTCAACAAAAGGTTGACATAAGGGAAGCCATATTGTAGAAAAGAGACCATATTATAACATTGAATGACCTCTGCCTAGCTAACCCAGCTGGATAAGCACCCACCAGGAGATTTTATGACCCTGCAGATTTTATGACCCTTGCTTGTGCATATACCTCCCAGCTGCAATAAGACAATAACTTCCTTCTTTTGAATTCTTTGGGAATGTTATGACCTCTGAACAGAGAGTCTATGCTGATAGCCATCATAAATGAAAACTGAAAGATCTGGTGTGGCAACTCCCAGTCTGTAACACCAGAAGGTCAACATTCCTAACCTCCTCCCCTATAACCCCCTGGCCTATATAACAGCTTCAAGATTCTGTGCCCCCCTGAAGATGGCTCTTTTGGACATTAGTTTGCCATCTTCCCTCTTGCTAGCAAACTGTAATAAAATGCCCTTTCTCTGCTACCATCTTGCCTCTTCATGATTGGCTTTTGTCTGGCAGCAAGTGGATTGTGCCCTTTGTACGGTAACAGTGTTGGTTGAGGGTCAACATCTAGCCTGAGAAGGTTCTCACTAGAGGGCAACTGTAATTCTTTTCTAAATTGTGCCTGGTTTTGGTGTGTACTTCAATGTAGAAACCAAGATTGAAGGCTGTACCTAAAGAAGCTTCCAGGGAAGAAGGTTTCCAGAGGGGCCCCAAAGAAGTGATGGTACTGAAAGCAACAGAGCCATTTGCATATGCTGTCAGCAAAGGGGAGAGAAAGATGTTTCATGCCACAGTAGCTACTGAGAGCCAATTCTTCCAAGGGAAGGTTTTTGATATCAGCCTAAAGGAGAAGTTCATTCCAAAGAAAGTCATTGCCATATCGGATTATGTTGGATGCAATGGGTACCTGGAGGTGTACAATGCCTTATCTGTGTCTGATGTTAATGCTGACCAAAAGATGGAGGTCTCAAAAAGTCTGATTGCAAATGCAAATGCAACTCCTAAAATCAGTCATCTGTACTTGCAAGCTCCAGGAACATTTGTGAATGGGATGTATGAGGTGCATAAGGTAAGCCCACACCATTGTTTTGTAATATTTCGCCTGCAACCTCATAATTTAAAAGTCTTAACTGACTATTTGGTGTTTGGTTAAAGTCCTAAACACAGGACCTCAAAGCCCCACTGCCCACTTCAGGATATGGGTGAGAAAATCTCTGAACATTCCTCTTCCCAAGGTAACAATATGCAAGTTCTGTGGCAAGAGATTCCCCAGAAGCCTTGGCATTTTATCAGCTATAATGACCCATTGACAGCCACCCAGGTCCAGGACAGTGCAGAGTTTATATCAATATATGTATGCTTATGATTTGGTTTCTTTGAGTTCTGCCTCATCTATTTCAGCTACAGCTTAAATCTGATTGTGAATAAAGAATTACCCTCTCAAGCTTGTATTTCAGTTGTGACAACCAGACTAAGAAATGAATAGAGTACTCTGTCCTAGAACATAACTCTTTCCAACAGATAGCTAAGATTCTGAGCATCTGAAGTCTAAAGTGCTCTTATCTCTTCATATTATTCATCAAAAACTTGTTGAGCAACTGATGACTTTGGCATTAACTAAGCGAAATATGATGTTGAAAAGAATATAGAAATCATGTAGTTTAACACCAATGTATAAATACGGACAAAAAATGCAGAATTTTGGTGAATTCTTAGAGTAGATATTTCAGTCCAAAACATCATAGAAATACTAAGCTTTGCTGACCTAACTTTTTTTTTTTTGAGGAAGATTAGCTCTGAGCTAACATCCATGCCCATCTTCCTCTACTTTATATGTGTGACACCTGCCACAGTGTGGCTTGATAAGCAGTGTGTAGGTCCGCACCTGGGATCCAAACCAGCAAATCACAGGCTGCTGAAGTGGAACACGTGAACTTAGCCACTGTGCCACGAGGCTGGCCCCCTAAATATTTATATGAAGTATTGTTTCATACTCCATTATATGAGTCTTCTAGGGTAGCTCTTTACTTTTACCCCTGTTGTTTTCTGCACACTCTGTTTAAATGACTATGCACATATACGTTTTTCTAGAATTAAAGAGGAAAGTGAGATAGAAACAAGAACAACGGGACTGGCTGATCTAGATTCAAGATTTGGGCAGATTGGAAAAGAGTGAGTAAGTGTATATCCAAGTTCCTTAAGAAATGTCAGCTATTCTGAAATGGAAGTAGGAAATGAGGAAAGTAATCAATTCTTTCAGAAGAACCCAGTAGACAAAGACCTACAGGAAAGAAAGCTAGACAGAAGATTCAAAAGGGAGAATTCTCTGAATAAGATATGTTAAACTATTTGGTACCTGTAATTCTGGACCTACAGCTCATAAATTAACCTGTCACAGATAAAAATTTCACTAACACTCCATATTTCTCATAGATGTGGATATTACCGATTCAGTTCTCAGAGGATGAATGTTGTCTTTCTTTTGCAGAAAACGGTTAGGAATCAATTCATTTATTATGAAATAAAAGATAATACAGGGAAGATAGAAGTTAGGATGTATGGACGACTGACCCAAATCAACTGTGAAGAAGGCAATAAACTTAAACTAATCTGCTTTGAATTGGCATTAAGTGAGAATAAGTGGCAGCTGAGATCTGTAATTCACAGTTTCATCAAGGTGGGAACTTCTGGGGGAACATCATCCTTCTAAACTAGAAGACTTTGTGAAAGCTAGACTGCTGCTATTGCAGAAAGAGTCAAACAGGTGGGAAAAGAACTAATCCTTCTACTTAAGTGTGTGTAAACATTCTTTCCATCAGTATTTCTTTTCTTAAAGAATACTTTTAATCATATTGAACAGAGGAACCAGATATGCACTCAAAGGATGTGATACTTATGATAAATATGCAGAATTGGTTCCATTTATCAAAGCAGGGAGATTATTTAGCAAATTTGGGCTTTATTAAGGCAGATTTGTTTTAAATCCTGCCTCTGTGATTTGCTAGTTGACTAATGAACTTAAACACTAGCAACCTCAGGCTCATCATCTATAAAATGGAGGAAATATCTTCTATCTCAGAGGATACTTAACAGAGCTTATACGAGATTAAGTGATCAAGGATGCCCCTGAGAATCTCAGAACACAAAGTCACCTGCCTTTTGTGAGCTACACATTCTGGTCAACAACAAGCAGAGGTGGTTGATTCTACATGACAAAGTTCATACTCCTTGTCAGACTCATGCACACATGCATGTGGAATTCTTGGAACACTAACAAAGGTTAATAATGAAATGCAAACAGATCAAATACAAAGGTTGATGTTTCTAGACACACATGAATGCGCATGCTCTTGGGTCTTTCCAGTTGTCAGGACCATCAATCAAACATTCCAAATCTTCCCTCACTGCATTGCACCAGGATACCTTTTGCATCCTCCTCCCACCTTTCTTCCCTTCCTTCCCTGTCTTCCCAGGAAGAACATTCCCTTGAGCTCTTAGCATGAGCACCTGCTCCTTCCTCTCTCCTGTTGTTCCCCACACCTCCTGCCTGTCCACAAGTACTCATGCTGGGCATGAGTGAATATCGCATTTCAGGGTCCCAATCAAGAGGAGGGGGTGGTGACTCAATAAACAGGACACCTTTAAAGAAGATAGGTGAAAGTGAGAGAAGAACCTTTTAGAATGGAAGAGAGAAAAGGATACAGCCCATGGAAAGGAGACAGTGTGAGTGAAGGGAGAAATGCATGATGAGCTGCATCTCTACTGATCTATCTTTATCTCTTTCTCCTTCAAGGTCATCAAGGCCAGGAAAAGCAAGATACCACCACTTAGTCCTGATTCATATATGAAAACCTCACTAGAGTTCCTCTAAAAATCTGGATTCCATTAATAACGATGTTTATGGAGATAAGATCTAAACACAGAAAAAATAATACATATGGCTGAAATACAGCAATATATATACTTGCTATTAATTCTTGGAAATAGGATGTTATAGGTGCTTTTCACTTTTAATATTTTTCTGTACCATCTCAATGCCATATTTTACATCTGTAACTTTTCTAACTTGGAAAAAAAATTATAAACATCATGGTTATTTCTAAAGGAGTGTTTCCTCAAACGTCTAATTCATAGGTGAATTGATTAAAAGTAAATGGTCTGTGGCCTGCTCGTCAAGGTGGGGCACACATGCTCCAAGCAATATTTGGATTTATACTTTGGGTGTGATCTTTACAGGATAAGGCTCTGATCAAGAATGGACAGGTTGAACAGATTAAGCTCCGCTCAAAGAAACCCAGTAAGTTGGCAGACGAGCTGAAATCTAGTCTGTGCTTCAATTGCCAAGCCCTCTGTCCTAGGAGGGGTTGCTTTAGCCCAGAACAGTGAACATCTTTTCAGAAGTGGTCTCCTGGAGGAGGCATAATTGGATATTTTGTCTGCCAAATGAGGCAGCTTCTGGTGATTTGCATGAAGACACTACTATATATTGGAAGCAATTCTAGCTCGTTTTGTTGTGAAATAACCAGTTCCATTCCTTACTCAAGTACCAACAGCTCAGTGGCTCTCCAACCGCATTTCCTGGTTCTCATATTTCATGTGTGTGGATTCCATCGGGAAGTTGCCTGGGGCAAAGACCCGCATTAGGCAAAGACTGAAGAATCAGTAATTCACTTTTGAGTACAATGGCAGAGAGTAGATATCTAAAACTGAAATTTATATGTTTAATAATCACATATTTGATACCTGCCATTTTACATTTATTTTGTGTCACTTAATCTTCATACCAGCTCCAGAGGGTTGCTATTGCTTTCATTTTTATTTTCCTTGAGAAAAACAAGTAACAGAGAAGTAAAATCAGTTTCCTAATGATACTTAGATTGTAAATCATAGTTCTTGATTTAGAATCCAGCCTTCTGTTTTGGATTGAGATAAATGTGTTAGAAGGAGGGGAATGTGGATGGGGCCAAAGTTGTGAAGTATAGAATGGGAAATTTCCCACCACAAAGGTCCAAAACTATTTGTGCACAATTAATCTAAGGAAAACTAGCATTAAATTTCTGCCTTTATGGCTGGGGCCAAAGATCCAAGGAATAACGAGTTGTTTTCCCTTACACTGCCTCCTTTCTCAGTGTGTGTCTTTTATTATGGTAGGTTAGATGCCAAGAATAAAACTTGAAAGTTTTTTTTCCTTGTCCAATACCATTCTAATAACATTCATATATATGCATATTTCAAGATAATTTTGGGAAACCCTATTTTGAAGGAACTTTAGATACTACAGGACCTAGAGATTAAGCGAAGTGCTCAAGATCACAACATCACCCAGGTAGTTAGGAAACAGATTTCTTACTGAGACGTCAGGTACAGCTAAAACTTCCTCCAAACAAAATTTGACTTATGGACAGTGAGGAAAAGAACTACTTCATACACAAATGACATTTGTATTCTGAGTTATTCTAAAACTTCATATTCTTATTACTTTAAGTAAACTTCCTGTAATTGGCTATTCTTTAATATGTACATGATGGTGATTAGGAGTTAGAGGAGTCATTTCAGGGATCTGCCCAATCAATGTCTTTGCTACCTCTAATGTCTGGCAGATTCCCCTTTGAACTTGTCATTTCCGAGGACAATGTGTCTCTAAATGAGATAGGCAAGAAATGACCTTCTATCTACCCAAAAGAGTTTGCCTCTTTGATTTTGTTTTCACTTAAATAGCTTCATCTTCAATCTCTAATGCCTTGACCCCACTCTATCTTCTATTTTTACGCCTTGCCACATATTGGAGCTCCTCCTTGGGACCAGCATAAAGCAGGTAAGAAGCTGGAGTGTCCCCCAGATGTGAAATGTTTAGACCAAAGAGAAGGTCATGACAGCTTGTAGAAATGCTTACTTGCCATCGTGGACACCTTAGAGATGTGATTTGTACCAAGTGGCTTTAAGGTGTGCAAGAGGCAGAGAGCTATCTCTGAGAGGATCTCTAGAGCATAGCAGTGTGACTATGATTAGAAGAGGCATACCCAACCCTATTGGCAATGTTCTTTCTCTAAAGTTGCATGATGAGACATGTATCAAGTTTTATACATTTTACGTGTCTTATAATTTTCGTGATTAATTTTAAAAGCCATTTTTAAACTTATGTCTACTGCTCCACAAAATAAACGACTATATTCTTACAATAAAAAAATTCAAGTAATTTAAAATCTTTGTTGAAAATGAGAGCAATCATACTTCAAGAACCAAAGAAAATCACCACCTTTGGCTTACTGTGCATCCTTCCAGACCTTTTATCATTAATTTATAGGTGATTATGTACATAAAGTAATGCGATTTTTATACAATAATTGTGATTAGTATGCTTGAGTTCCCTCATTGGTAAAAAATACAGCTAATAATAGTCCTTATGTAATAGGGCTGTCATGGACATTGTAGGGAGGGAAGAAACATTCCTCTACCATTCTAGGTTCTTCTGACTGGCCTAAGAATTAAGTTGACATGAAATAGAACAATGGGAGAAAAATCAAACAAGTTTAATAACATGCATATGTAGGGGAGGAAGACATTTCCTCTACCCTCTCTGTGTTCTTCTGGCCAGAGAACGAATTAAATTCACATGAGACAGAGTAACAGGAGAAAATTAAACAAAGTTTATAACATGTATACATGGGAGAGCCTCAGGCAAGCTGAGCAACTCACCAAAATGGCTGAAGCCGCCACCTTAAATATCATCTTCAGCTAAAGACAAAGGAGGATGTTAGGGATGTTAGGGGGAAGTCAGTTACAGGAGGTTACCAGAGAAGCACAGTAAATAGGAATAAGATTATTATGCAGATTTAAGTCCTTGCCTTCTGCATTGATAAGACTTTCTAGAGATAAGGTCATATCCCTTCTTCCTGGTACAGAGAGGGAGACACCTTTGCAGATGTAGATTTCCCTTACAATGTAAATGTTTCTTAACAAAGGGTAAGTAAACTCTGCTTTTCAGAGTGCCTTTCCTGTCTGCAGTTTATTAAAAGTAACCAGCCCCAAATAATCTTCATGCCAAAGAGACCTATCTCGGGATGGCCAATTCTAATCCCCCACATATACATATGAGAAACCCTGGAAAACTGAGCAACTCACCAAAAAGACCAAAGCTACCACCTTAAATACCATCTTCAGCTATAGACAAAGGAAGACGTCAAGGGTATTGGTTTGGGACTTCAATAGGGAGAAAGAAAATTCACATGGAGACAGAAAAACAAATATTTGGTGAACAAATATTTGCCATGCCTTACAGAGACAAAGGAGAGGACTTTGATCAAATGTGCCTTGCTAAATTCCTGTCTACCACACCTAGTTTATATTATACTCTAGCTATCTATGGTGATAGCTCCTTCCTGGAATAAGCCTTTTATCTTAAATTCTTTTAGGCAGTTAAGGAGAAGGTCGAAGTTTCTTCCTGAGATTTTTGTTCTTAAAAATAATCAAGCCAGCGGCTGGCCCAGTTGTGTAGTGGTTAAGTGTGCACATTCCACTTTGGCTGCTTGGGGTTCGCCAGTTCAGATCCTGGGTGCAGACATGGCACCACTTGGCAAGCCATGCTGTGGTAAGCATTCCACATATAAAGTAGAGGAAGATAGGCATAGATGTTGGCTCAGGGCCAGTCTTCCTCAGCAAAAAAAGAAGAGGATTGGCAGCAGATGTTAGCTCAGGGCTAATCTTCCTCAAAAAAAAATTTGTTTTAAATAATCAAGCCAAAGAGACACATTTGTGAGTGGAAAATTCTACTCCCTTGTTACATTAAGTGAGGCCATCTATATAAAGCACTAAGCAATTAGATAATGTAATCAACAATAAAGAAAGCAATTGTCCTTATTGTTCGTAACTTGCATTTCTTATTTAACAATATGTCATATAAAGCTTTCTGATCAGAATATATAAATCTAATTCATATTGATGTGGGGTTGGTGAGCCAAGGAGTCGAAAGAAAGATTTCTTGGACTCTCAAGATCTGGCAGTAGTGCTCTTTTATTTAGAGAATAGTGTGGAATAGCATGGGGACAGGACCCATGGGCAGGCAAAGCTGGTGCCGGCATGTTGCTGCTGGTATCATTCAAGAGATATACATCTAATGTCCTACCTGTACGTCTGCTAGATACAAAGTTCTAATTTTGGAACTGCTTTCATCTATTGACATTTATAGCAACAGCAGCAAAAATTTAAGTATAAATTTGCTAGAATGTTTCATTTTGATTAAGATGTTGTCAGGGTAGGGGAAAATCCCCTTTCTATTATTCTTGTGTTCTTATGGCTGGACTAATGATAAAATTGACACAGACCAGATTAACAGGAGAAAAAAACACTTTAATGCATGCATGTTGGAGATCATAGAGAAATGATGTTTGGAGAGAACAAAGCAGATGATATATACATCTTTTACACAAAGAAACAAGAAATTCGTGAGGAGTGACAAGACAAAGAAACATAAATTTGAGATATGTAATTAGTGAGAGATTTAAGCAGAGTTTAGGGTTGAGGTTGTAAATGAGCCAGGTTTATTTAGGTAAGAAGCCCTGACTAACCCAGCTCTGGTGATAAGGATGAAGAGAGAGCACCTTGCACGTGAGAGATTCATTTCCTGCCTTCAGGGAGAACAGAGACAGGAGAGTCAGAATGCCCTTTATCCTTCTCAAGGAATTTTAATCCAAAATAATCAATATGCTGTTGTGGAATATTTGGGAGTGGCTTGTCCTGGGCCCCAACAAAATTTACAGGAAGGAAACTGGTGATTTTCTCTGACTAATGAATCGAAAGCTAAGAACATAGGTGGGAGGAGTCTCAACATTGTTTCATAACTTCTGTTTCTCCGGGATAACACAGTATGAGATGGCTAGCACTAGTCAAGGTTTCAAGTGACTCTACCAGTGCCATTTGTTTCTTGTTGCCTTTCAAAATATTTTTTTTCTTTCTGCCCTTGAGGAGATTATAACATCCTGCATTTCAGTCTCTGAGAGTTTATTGAATTATCTTCCTACTCAAACATAGCAAGTGATTTCTGCATCTCTGAAGAAGACCTCAAGATCTGGACTACTGTGGAAGAAATTTCCAGTGAGGTGAGACCTGTGAAGATTTCCTTAGGGAGACATGGGTACCTGGTTGTTAACCAAAAGATGACAAAGGAAGCTTATGTTATGAAGAATTTGTGGGAAAAGGGGTGATTTAAAGTATATTCAGAAAAGACAAAACAGCAGTAGCTTGATTCTAGTCCTTCACAAACTAGGTGAATAATAGATATTTTTATTCCAGCACAATTGAGTGTTATGCATTTTGACTATGAAGATATTAAAATTTGTTCCCCGGGTATCTACTGGCACGAGCTTTGTTTAGAGACAGGCTTTGGGGTTTTTCCCCAGGAAGGTGCGCAGAAGACTTGGTGGCTGTGGTCAGGGCCTGGGTAAAATCAAGTTAGAGGAATGGCAAAAATATCGTAAAATAATATTAAGTAAAACATACATCTGGATATAAAATTGTATTGTATGGTGTTATCTGAATTTTATACACACAGACCCTACACACAGAGTAGAAAAAATTTCGGTTCCATAAACACAGTTAAACTAAAACATGGCTTCTTTACCTCTCTGTAAGACAGTTGAATTTTTATTTTATATTCCTTTTTGCCAGCTGTCAGAGTTGTCAGAAAACTTAAGTTTCTTTTACGATTACTTTCTGCCTTCCTGAAAATTACTGATTTTCTTTTCTGGTGGCAAGGTATAGGAAAGAGACAGGAAAAGTCAATTACAAATAGATTTCTATTACCTACTTTCAGAATTGTTTAAAGACTTTCTGTATGGCCTGGTACAATCGTATTTTAGGTGTGCTTGACTAGAATGTGAAATTTTTAATGCTCAGAATTTTATGTATGTTACATAAACTTTGTTCATTGAGCTTATTGTGTTGGTTAAATTTTCTGCATCTTACTGATTTGTTTTACCTTATTCATTTAGTAATGAGAGATACACTGAAATCTCCTGCTATAAACTTGTGGGGTTTTTCCTTGTAGATCTCTCAAATTTATATAAACATAAGGAGAATATAGAAGTGTCATAAATTGAAATAAAGATAGCAGAAACAAGACAAAACACATTTATTATCAACATAGACATAAAAAACCTAACCAGATAAGCAACAACTTTAGCCAAATTGGATTTAAGAAATTCATGAATATCTTTATTTATATAACACCATATATATAATATATACTTTATATATATGTGTTTATGTTTAGATGCGTACATATATAAAATATATGTGTGAATGAATGTGTACGAAAAGAAATATACTACATAATGCTATAAATACAATTTTGTATTTAACGTGTTATGTTATAAAATATAATACATAAGATATATAGCATTATGAAGGAATACAAAGTAATAAAAATAATACAAATTTACTATTAGTGTGTAAATACGCAATCAAAACAGTTTTATCTCCCTTGGAGTAGAAGCTATTATGATTGTGTCATGCTCTGATACTTTTTGTCTTCAGGTCTATTTAAAGCTGCACTAATATAAATAAACTAGTGTTTTTCTTCTGCTTACTCTTTGCAAGATAAAATATTTTCCTTTTGTATTTCCACATTTAATTGATCTTTTGTTAACAATATATTGACAGATTTCTTAAATCCAATTTAGCTAAGGTTGTTGCTTAACTGCTTAGGTTTTTTATGTATATGCTGATAAGTAATGTGTTTTGTCTTGTTTCTGCTATCTTCATTTCAATTTATGACACTTCTATATTCTCCTTTCTCATACATCTTTTTTTACTTATACTCTATCATACCCTTAGGACAAATACACTAGTGAGTTGTGTAGGGGAGGAGGACATGTCCTCTCCCCAAATGGGGGTTCGTCTGGCCGGAGAACGAATTAAATTCACATGAGACAGAATAGCAAGAGAAAATTAAACAAAGCTTTATGAGGAACCATGGCCCGGGGCCTTTCTTCCCGAAGGAAGAAAGGGCACCGAAGAAGTGGGGTGCACACAGTGGTTATATACCCCCAAACGGGGTGTTTCACATGTGATTGAAATGTACCTCCCACAATAGTCACAAGATTGCCCCATCAGCACAGGGCTTGATGGACACAGCAGGTAGTGGTCTGCTGTCTCGGCGGGCGTAGCAGGAGGCAAGTCGATTGTCTGGAGCTGGGCGGTCACAGGTGAGCTCAGCAATCAGTTCCTAGCCTAAGGAAAGATGCTTAATCCTTAAGAAATGCCAGCGTTGGGAGGGGGAGGGAATTTAGTTACAGGAGGTTACCAGACAAGCACAATAAAATGCAGATTTTAAGTCCTTGCCTTTGATATTGATTAAGAGTTTTTAGAGAGAAGGTCATCGCCTCTCTTCTTCCTGGTACAGAGAGGGAGGCAACTTTACAGATAGAGATTTACCTTACAAATGTAAACGTGTCCTAACAAAGGGCAAGTTCCATTCCTCAGAGCCTCCTTGCCTGTCCCAGTTTATCAAAAGCAATCAACCTCAAATAGTCCTGATACCAAAGAGACATATCTTGGGGTGGCCAATTCCAGGTCCCCACAGTTGACATGTTCTTTTTCCTCCCTCCTTCCGTCAACCACGTTGATGTACTTCCTGGGTCTCTTTTCTTCCATCAGGGCTTTGTTCATTTTTAAAACATGGGCACACCTAATCAAGTTAGGTTCTTTCTTGACCTTGTGGTGTTTTCTTGTTGAATATTACTTCCAATAGATGTTTCCATGTGGGTCTTTGTCTTGCAAAACTGCTGAGGCCTTGAATATCAGAGATAGTGTTTGAGGCCCTCATATTTAAATAGCACTTTGGCCAGATTAAAAATTCTACATTCAAAATTGTTTTTCCCCTCAAGTGCCTTTTGAAAAGGTTGAAAGTACCTTTTCTGATACCCTTGGGCTAGACATGTTTGAAATTCAGAATCAGGGGGCTTTAGAAAGGTTTTTACTACATCTACTTAAAATACTATGTGACTAGAAGCCCTGTAAGATCTGGATACAACTCTAAAATCAAATGCACTAATATTTCAGAAAGAAAGCATGAATGTTCGTATTTAAGTGGAATAAATAAAGATTATGCATAGCTTCTTGTCACCTCACATCTTGTCTTATTTTGCACATAAATTGTGTTGTCACACTCACAAAAAAATCACAAAAGTTTTATTTAAAAAAGTCTTCAGTTTTGAAATAGATATGGAATTTTTGACCAGTACTATATAAAAATTATTTCATTGTCCTGCTAAGGAAGTTTTGCTGTTGAGAATTCGTTTCAATTTGATCCTTGGATCTTTATATGTAATCTGATCTTTATTTTTAGAAGCTTTCAGGGTTTTCACTTCGTTTATAATCTTCTTCTGTCTCACGATAATGTGTCCTTGTGTGGATTCATCCTTCACTCTAAAGGCCTGACCAACCTTAGGACACTCACGTTCTCTCAAGAAGAACAATTCACAGGAATTTGAACATCTCAATTATACAAAAAGTAATCAAACACATGATCCCTACACTAAAAGAATTAATGAATTTAAACAGAAAATTGGGACCCATAATATGCGCTGAGTGTCATGAAGGAAGTGCAGAAGGTGCTAAGAGGCCCAGAGGAGTGAAACTCAGTCCAAAATAGGGTCTCAGCTTTCAGAAGACACAGCCTCAGTTGAGCATTGGAGCCTGTAAGGAAGTAGTCAGAGGAAGAAAGGTGGGAAAGGCTTTCTAGGCAGCAAGAAGAGAATTATCAAAGATATGAAACATAAAAGGCAAGGTATGTTATATATTTTGGAGGATAAAATATAAGAAATACAAAAGTAACAGAAGTAAAAAGGATGCAGATTATTCAAGACCTTCTAAGCCAGGCTAGGGAGCAAGACATTTTTCAAAAAGAAAACAGGGAATTATTAAAGGATTTTAAGTGAGATAGAATTGTGGCTGTATAGAGAGATATCTGGCTCTATGAAAAGAAATCATTAAAACAATTGAGTGGCAAGACAGAAATCAAGCAACTATAGTAATAATTCCAGTCAACAAATGCTACGATCCTGGAGTAGGGAGCAGGCAGAAGTCCAAAAAGGGACAGCGATATAGGCACAGAGGACACAGAGAGCATGGTCCAAGCCCCAGGGAGAAGGGATTCAAATGAGAAGAGCCAAGTGCACTAGGGTAGGTACCCAGTACTGAACTGTAGTGCTGTAGAAGGAGGATATTCACACAAGGTGAGATGAGAGGCTGCAGCCCATTTCCCATTATACGCATAAGTCACATCAGTCACAGTGGATATAGGAAGAGTCACAAACCAACAGGCACACACTCAGGGACAGACTGTAGCCCCGAAAAGATATGGGGAGAGGAACCAGGGACTTTGACACTATACAGTCCATAATGTACACACTGCAACAATTGCCTATTTCCAGACCTTCTGCTACCACACCACCCCCAACCCAACTCAACTGTCATCATTAAAAGGGAAGAATTTCTTAGAAGTTCCAAACTTGGTAGTTCTCAACCCATTTTCCACGAGGACATCTGGTAATTAGGTCCCTCTTGGTCACACACACCTGTGGACAACACTTTCATATGGACCATGCCCTCACATAGACATTCGCAGTCTTTTAAATTGTCTGTATAAATGTGTAACACTGTATGTTGTTTTTCTCTTCTAGGTCATCCATAACTTGAGAGATGCAAAGTGAATTCAAGAAAATCATTCTGCTGAAAGGATTAGAGCCCATCAATGAATATCAGTTTAGCATGGTTAAGTTTTTATTGGCTTCTGATTTAAAACTGACTAGAAAAGCTCAAAACGAATATAATAGAATTCAGATTGCTGATTTGATGACAGAAAATTTTCCAAGGGCTACCTGTGTTGATAAACTAATAGAATTGTACAAAGACATAGCAGAACTTAAGCAGCTTGCTAAAACTCTTAAAAATGAAAAGTTAAAAGGTAATGACTTAGAACTCCTCACTCTCACTCTCTCTGAACCATCCTCAACCTTGATTAGAAAACCCTAACTTGTCATAGTTGACACATCCCGTTCCCAATTTAGGACTCAGTAGCCATGGCAATGATAGTACTGCAGAGGCCAAGTGGACAACTTAGGGCGTCCCCTTTCCTATAAACAGGTCTGATGTATTTTAGAGGGCATATTTTGGGAGTGCGGGTAAGGAAAAAGAAGCAGAAGGAGTCAATGAGGAGGCTTAGTCTTTGAGTACATTAGAAAGGTTAGAAAATGACAAAAGAAAATTTCAAAAAGAGTAAGTTTTAAAAGTATTTGTATCAGGGGTCAGCCCGGTGGTACAGTGGTTAAGTCCACACGTTCCGCTTTGGCGACCTGGGGTTTGAAGGTTCAGATCCCGGATGTGGACCTATGCACCACTAGTCAAACAATGCTGTGGCAGGTATCCACATAGAAAGTAGAGGAAGATGGGCATGGATGTTAGCTCAGGGCCAGTCTTCCTCAGCAAAAAGAGAAGGATTGGCAGCTGATGTTAGCTCAGGGCTAATCTTCCTCAAAAAAAAAAAAAAAGACAAGTATTTGTATCAATTAATGTAGAAGATCTATTACAATATTTACTCCACCATCATTATATTCTCTAGTAAGAAATATGAGGCAGTACTTAAATAAAAACCTTTCTCTCAGAGATGTGAAGAGCTTGTCCTTTAAAAAATCACTGGATTATAAAAACATATTTTAAAAAGTCCAAGTTCAGTATCACCACTTCATCACGTCACTAATTAGAGCATATTTTCTTTGTCTGGTTTCAGTAATTCAAACAGAACTTTTACAGAAGATGACAGACCACCAGAAGCATAAAAACTTTAGATTATTAAAGGGAAAGTATAGGCTATGTGGTTAGAAAAGAGTTTAACTGAGGTACATAGGAAACCAGAGCACAGGAAACATGTGCTCAGTGCACATGGGGTGAGAAAGGAAACCATTGAGGAAGCATGAAACAGTGCTTGTGCCTGTGTTACCTCTACTGGCTAATGCAGTAGAGGCAGACAAGGGCATGCGTAGACCCACACACAGGAGCTGGGAGGAAAAAGTATTGAAAAGGCTTCCACGGTCTTAGACCAGCTCCTTTGGATTTATCATTTTCTTTTTTACTGCATCAGTTATAAGCAGATGGAAAGCAAGAGGAACAACTCCAGTGAAAAAAAGCAAGCAGGATAAATCTACATGCACCATGAATAAAGCTTTGGGACCTGAATTGATCACCTATATGCCTGTGATGAAGGTAGGATAGCTAAGGTCCTGCTGAAGAAGATTCTTCTATGGATCTTCCATTTATTACCTTCTTATAAACACTTCATTCATTATTCATTTATCAACATGCAAAGATAAGAATCAGAGAAAAAGGGGTTCCAGGGCCAGAGTGAAAGTGAGGTTCAGAGTCGGCAAATTAATACTTATGGATCACGCATTAAGTTTCAGAACTACTGTGCACTTTAATTTACATAATATAATTCTCTATGATGGAAATATGAAATCATTACCCCTGTCTTAGATATGAACTAAAATGGCAATCAGATTAGGGAAACAGCTTGCCCAAGGCTACTCAAAGAGGCTAAATTCAAACTTACATTTTCTAAATCCAAGTTCACTTCTCCTGCCATCACCACAACAGTGAGTAAAAGAGTGACATGCATAAAATTTTGTCTACTGTTTGTATGAAGCAATCATATATTTGCACTGCTTACCTTCTGGCCATCTCTCCAGAAGATGGACTGTATGAAGCTCCCTGGAGTTCTCAAAGGCATAAGTTTTAGTATATTAGAACCTAGTAATAAAAAGTTGGTGTGTTCAGTGGTAAAGATATGTTTCAACTAATATTGAAAATTATTAATCAGGAAAAAACAACTACTTTCAGAAAAAGAAGAACAAAAGCATAAAAACTGAAGAATCTAAGATGCAGCTAACCCAGGAACAGAGTCAGCTTCCAGAACCTTCAGGAACCAGCACACTGTCAACTGAGAGCCATCCCCAGACTCCTCAGGTGTCTCCACCAACCCCACCCAGCACTTCCTCAACCAAGGTACCATCTTCTGTTCCCAAATTTGTGCCTCCCTACAACATATTACAGAGATCATCATGACCTTGAAGAGCTTCTCAGTAATCCCCTACTATATATAATTTCTTCATATAGTAAAATCACTCTTTAATTTATCAATGTGGATATTGAGATCTCAGTGTATTGTAAGTCCTTTGCTTCAGCAAGGTATGCATATATGAAATAATTCTTGATCTCAAGAGGATTACTGTCTTGTGTTGGTCCAAAAATATCGGATGGGGGGTAGGCAGACACTTGTACATGAATAATAGTGTATATTTATCCCCTAAGTTCTAGTTTCCTTTCACCCTTTCTCCTTAACCATATTTCTGCATTAATTTTCCGCATTCTATGCACCTTCCCATGTCAGCTGTTTTGGCACATGCTGTTTCCTTGATTTGGAATTCATTATTCAACCTTCAAGTGCTGGCCTGAATCCCTTCCTCAGGCAGTCCTCACTGATACCCCCATTCCCCAAAAAAGATCAGAAGATATTCTCGTTCTTTGCCTCACAGGACCCTTCACTATTCTTTTATAGCTCTTATCACAACTGTAGTAAATTTACATCTTTCTTCCGTACTAGACAATAAACTCAGATTATAGGTACCCTTTCCCAGGGGAAGACAAGACTAGGTTAGGAAATTGAGTACATATCTGCATGCATCAACTCCTTTCTTTTGTTTCATCCTGTGGTTACATGCAACACGGGACAATGAAGCCTGTACCTGAGGTGAACGGGTAAGGAAAGATTACCCCAAGACAGCATAAAGGGTAGGCAAGAGCCGAATTTAAAATGCTATTCTCTAATATAGTTTCTCACCCAAGACCCAAGCTGCCCTCTCACTCAGGGTACATCTCTACCACCACCCCACATACACCAATTGAAGACAGACTTCCTTTATAAAGGTTTCTCAATTTTTGGTTTTGTTTTCTTGTTGTTAGTTCCAAGAATCCATATTTCTACCAATAATCTCTCCCAAAATATCAAAGAGATGCATTTCTAGGAGACTGAAGAGCAGATGTCAGGAAACTATTTGTATATTTGTTTGATGAGAAAGTCACAGTTAATAACCATCCATAAATGCAGCAAACGTTGGGCTGACATTTGCTTCCCTTATAACCTGGGAAGGTTATCTACCAATAAATGTGCATGACCAAGTTGACATAGGCCAGTGTACACCAGATGTAGAATCTGGATTCCATCTCAAACCAATGAAATTTCATCTGAGCTTTTAATATTTGCAGAGTGAAATCTGTAATCCCACTTGAACTGGAAGAGAGTAGGTAATGCACGTATCTGATTATGTGCTGTTATTCCAGAGAAAATTGAGAAGTTAAGATCCCTTTTAAAAAAGAAAGAAAAGAATAAGGTGTGTTCTGTGTAATTTTTAAAATCATTATCCAGAAATAAGTAAAAAAAAATATCTTTCTCCAGAAAAGTAATGGCATGACCATAAAAACTAATAACTCCAAAAAGATGCTATCCCCAAAACAAAGTCAGCTTCGGGAAACTTCAGCAACAAGCTCATGCCCATCGGAGCTCCGTCCCCAGACTCCTCAGATGCTTCTACCAGTCCCATCCAGCACTTCCTCAAACAAGGTACCTGGTCCCATTCCTTGTGCCTCCATGCAACATAAGTACGAGGATCATCATAATCTTGGAAGAGCTTCCCATCTGATCTCCCACAATATACAATTTATTTAATATAATCACTCATTCATTTATCAGAGTATATTTTGAAATCCTACGAGATTCTAACTCCTTTGCTATTTGAAAAGCATGTGTTTATAAAATAGTCTCTTGGATTGAGTACAGAGGGAGGGGGTAGGTGGCCAGACAAGTAGAAATGACTGTGAGTGTGTTCTTCCCCTAATTCCCCTTTTCTCAGTGACCATACTACAGAGTTTATTTTCAAAACTCTATGCTCCTTTCCATGTCAGATGTTTTGACCTCTGCTCCATTTTTTGTTTGGAATCATTTGTCCTGATTCACCACTGGTTCAAGTGTCTACAACTTTTAGGTGCAAACCTGAATCTCTTCCTCAGGCAAGTCTTCATTACTATCCTCCTCCCAGAATACATCGGATATTCCCATGGTTTGCTTTCACTGCTCCCTTTATTTTTACTGTTTATTATTGTCACACCTGTAATAAATGTACATTTTTCTTCCTTACTGCACTTTAACCTCAGATTATAGGTACTATTTCCCTGGGAAAGACAAGACCAAAGTGGAAAAGTGAGTGCACACATGCACGCATCAACTCCTATCCTAGGCTGCCTTTTGTTCTACCTGATATGACCCCTGTGGTTACCTTCACACAGGGGTACAATAGCTATTTCTGAGATGAATAGGCAGGCAACTTGAGGAACAGGCAAAAGTGGAATTTAAATTACTATCGTCTAACATAGTTTGTCACCCTAGCATAGAGATGCCGTCTGACTCGGGCTGAAGCCCCCTACACCACCTCATACATAGCAGTTAAAGACAAATGAGGGAAGATTTCTCAAGTTTTGTTTTCTTGTCATTCTTACTGTTGTTAGTTTCAATAATTCCTAACTCCCTTTGTAGTCTCTCCAGTTTTTGTCTGTGGGATGGAGCTAGCAACCTGTGGCCATTTCCCTCTAGGCCTAGGTGGACATTGTCTAGTCATTGAAAGTTCTGGCCCACTGTCTCTCTGCTAAGTGCAATCACAAACGTGGGCATCTCAAGACAATTCTATTTTTTCTATGCACACAGGCTTGGGAGTGACACTAAGGCCCCATCTGCCTAAACATGTGACACAGTTATTTCTATTCCCGTAAGAATCATTATGCTTCTTTGAAACCTCCTTCAAGCACAGGAATCTCATCTTCATTCTCAAATTCATCACCTAAACACGCCATACAGTCATTTCTTCTTTGGGGTCCAGCCACCTCTATAGCAGGCCTGCCAAAAGGGTGTCTGACCATTCTATGATTCATTAAATGAGCAGGAAAGCCTTGCTCTTGTTCATTGTGGAGTCTCTCAAAAATTGTCTCTATAATATGGGCTCTGTTTGCTTTTGGGATTCAATATCAGAAGCAAACCAATATTATCCTTGACTCCTGCTCCTATGGTCTCCCACAAAGCAAAGAGCACAGAATGGCTTGATTCAAGAATAGGGTGCAATGGTTAAGGAAAAAGTCTGAATGAAAAACAGTCAATTACTATTTTTAAATATTATCCAATAAAATAGTGCATTTTAGCATCTAAGTACTACTTTTTTTAATGGAAGTTTTTGGTTTAACTGATTTTGGAAGATGTTCAAGATGTTCTTGTCAGTGAGATTAAATTACTATATGTGGCAGAAGTGACTAGAAAAGCTTCTTTAATAAAATGCTTCCCGTAACACCTCTGTCTAGGATTTCCATTAAGAAGGTCAACATAATGCATAAAACATCTGTAGGGGAGGAAGAAATATTCCTCTATCCTGTAAGTTCTTTGTTGGTCTAAGAATTAAATTGTCATGAGACAGAATAACAGGAGAAAATAAAAGAAGTTTAATAACATATATACGTGGGAGAAACCCAGGAAAACTGAGTAACTCCCCAAAATGGCCAAAGCCACCACCTTAAATAGCATCTTCAGCTAAAGACAAAAGAGAATGTTTAGGGTAGTAATTTGGGACTTCAAGGGGAGGAAGGCAATTCACAGAAAGATGGAAGACCAAATGTTCGGTAAACAGATGTTTGCCGTTCCTTGCAAAGACTATGAGACAGGGAGAGGACTTTGATCAAATGGGCCTTGCTAGGCTCCTCCCCACTACTATTACAGTTATCTATGCTATTAACTCCTTCTGAAACACACCTTCTATCTTAAATTCGTTTAGGTCTTTGTGGGGAAGGTCAAAGTTTCTTCCTATGTCTTTGTTCTTAAAAATAATCAAGCCAAAGAGAAATAAATTCTGTTCCCCTGCACATCTGTGGATAAGAGGAGGAATACAAACCCATGTGTTGACTATGAAATAATAATTACAATATTGATATTTCTATGTATTGAGCGTTTAGTGTTGCTGGTCTCTAAAACGTGATCTTTGTGTACATTATCTCATTTATTCTCTATAATACCACGTGAGGATACCACTGTTACTCCCATTTCACTTATGAGAAAACTGAAGTTCATAGAGGTTAAATATCTTCCCCAAGATCACAAAGATAGTGGAAGTTAGAGCCAGGATTCAAATCCAACCTAATTGAACTCTACAACTTGAATATTTAATGGCATATAAAGATTCCAGAGTCAGAGTATAGCTGTTACAATACTTGTAATTTATTTTTAAAAATTTATAATTAGACAGTCTTATGGTTCAAGTTCATTTCCATAGCCCAGGCTGTGTAATCCTTCTAATGAGGAATGAGGTGCCGGTGTGGTCAGAGGGTGTCCTGATCAGGAAGCTGCAGGTGAAGTGCAGATATTTCAAGCAGCTCCTTCATCTATAAATTTATCAACAAGTGACACCTCATGAATTAGATACGTGAATGCTAGAAGAGGTAAGAACTGTGGCAAGGGGCTGGCCCTGAGGCAGAGTAGTTAAGTTCCTGCGTTCTGCTTCGTGAGCCCAGGGTTTCGCCAGTTCCCATCCTGGGCATGGACCTAGCACCGCTCATCAGGCTATGCTGAGGTGGTGTCCCACATAGCACAACTAGAGGAAACTGCAAATAGAATACAACTATGTACTGTGGGGCCTTTGAGAAGAATAAGAAGAAGCAAAAACAAAAATATTGGCAACAGATCTTAGCTCAGGTGCCAATCTTTTAAAAAAAAAAAAAAAAAGGAAAAGAACTGCGGCAAATTTATCTTGGATGTAGAACATTAGAAATGGGCTTTCATTAGAGAAATCACAGATAGTCAAGATAAATGATTTTACAGAAACTTCCTGCCCTTGCATAAACAATTATGAAAGTCCAGGTACTGGGAATGCCCTGGGTGATATCTTTTGTTTCTGTTTATTGTTCAGAACTCTGAAGGATTTTGTTGCCTGATGCAGACTACATAGAGAGCAGAATCCTGCCTCTAGAGTTATGAATTTGAGGGAATTTCCCCATATGGGGGTAAACAAAGCATTCAAAAATAGATGGAGACCTAGTTTCCTGGGCCTGAAGAGCAGATGATAGAAACTGATTCGCTTATTTGGCAAATACACAAGATAGTAAAAGACTTCATTAATAAAACATCCCTAAGTGAGTCCGACATTGTTCTGAGACTTGCTTCCATTATAGCCCAGTAGAATTTTCTACCATTGAAAAACTCCAAGTGTTATCTTGATGAAGTTGACATAGGGCTGTTTGCAGCAGAGGTAAAACAAGAATTCCATAACAGACCGATGAAATTTCAATCACCTGAGCTTTTAACATTTGCAGAGTGAGGTTTGTAATCTTGGTTGGGCTCCAAGCTTGGGAGGGGTTGGGGGCATCTGAAGATGTGCTGTTACTCCAGAGAAGATTGTCAGAGTGAAGATCCTCTCTTGTGTGTGTGTGTGTGTGTGCATGTGTGTGTGAGAGAGAGAAGAGAGAAAGACATGAAGACAGAGTATGAAGTTATTCATTTCATATTGAAAATCATTAACTAGGAAAAATACACATATATATTTTTTGCTTAAGAAAAGGAAAGACACCATCACTAAAACTGATGACTCCAAGAGAATGAAACTATTCTGGGAGCAGAGTCAGCTTCCAGAAGCTCCAACAACCAGCACATGCCCAACTGAGGGCTGTCGCCAGATGCCTCAGATGCCACCACCAACCCCATCCAGCAGTTCCTTAATCAAGGTACCAGTTTCCTGTTTCCAATATCTCCCCTCCCTAAAACATAATGACAAGGATCAGTAGAACCATGAAGGACCTTCTCACTAATCCCCTACTATATACAATTCTTTCTTTAAGTCACACATTTTTTATCAAACGTATATTTTGAGATAAGCTGCTACGTAAATGTGAACTCTAACCCTTATTCTGTACCCTTCTTTGCATAAGGATAATCTATGAGTCAGTGAGCACCTAATTATATCTATTCTCTGCTGGGTATAATTAGCCATTTGTTCATTTAATTTTATTTTTGATTTTCCCTCAATATGCAGTGAAAGATGGAGCTTAGGGTGGAATAGGGTGGAGAAATACAGGGTCAAACAAAGCACTGCCACCAATTCTTTTTCTTTCTTTTTTTTTTTTTTCTGAGATTCACCCTTAGCTAACATCTGTGCCAATCTTCCTCTATTTTGTATGTGGATCTCTGCTACAGCATGGCCACTGATGAGTGGTGTAGGTACATGCCTAGGAACCAAACCCGGATCATCTAAGAAGAGTGTGCCAAAATGAATCACTAGGCCATGGGGCCAGCCTCTCTCTTTCATTTTTAATTTTGTAAACAATATCATCTTAGAAAATTTAGGAAATGTAGACACATAGACAAAAATAATTAAATTTTAACTCTTTGATAACTCTCCTCTATAAAATGCTACATTTTGGTAAATAGTCTTTCTAACTTTACCTTTTGGTATGTATAAACAAAGAATATCATTTTGTCCCAGGTTGGATCACATTACACATATTTTTTCTATAATCCAGAGTTTTCTTCTTCACTTACTACATCTGGAACTGTTATTTTAATCTACCAATACAAATTTAAATTATTATTTTAATGTACAAGAATAACGGCAGGGTTCCTTAATAAATTAGAACATTGATCCTATATTATTTAACCTTAGGTTATTGCCAGTATTCCCTACATTCTCAATGTGGCCGATGGGAACATGTGTCCATCAAGTCTTCTTTTGCTACTCTGAAAGTAACTACATAATTTTCTCCTTAAGTCAAGAGCACTTCTTGTCAGGGTGCTGCTGTTGTTACTATCAAGAGATTTCTTGTTACTGACTAACTTGTGCTGGCAATGAGCTTCCTGAACCCAAGGTGAATTGGCCACATTGATGAGAAGTCAATCAAAGTTGAGCCTCATGACCCACAAGTTGTGGACAGTGTAATTTTCCAGGTTAGAACTTCTATCATGTTTATAAATCCTCTCCTGTGTCTGCTGTTTTTCAAAACAATCTTATGCCAGAGAGACATTTTTTGGGATGGTTGATTCTGCTACTATTCAAGAGCCTCTATCCAGAACATTTCCAAATTAGGAAAGGACATGGAGTTCTTCCACTGGCAGTCTTACTAACCCCTTTCAACACAACACTGCTTTTTTGCAAAGGGGCTTTGTGATTTGGGTCTTTAAATTGTCACATCTACCGGGATTGTTTCAGAAAGAATCTGTGGTTTATGATTGGAGTCATTGTCCACTCTCACTGATATTAAGGATGGCTTATTTTCTTCCCTACTTATATCCTACTTTGCTCACTAGAATGAGTTGATAAGATAAATGAATATTATTTTTTCATTTTCATCTCTATTAGGAATTGCTACACAACAGCATTGCTGTTGCTCAAAGCGCTTACACTCTGCATAGCTCTTCCTAGGAGAAAGAATTTTTTTCTTCAGTTAATTCTTTGTAAAGAAAGATATTCTTCCTCCAAAAATTATAAAAAATGAAGAAAACAAATAATATTTCTGTTTAAATCTTCCTCATTTCTTCTATTAGATAAATTATACCATGTCAGCCATATTAGTCTAGGAATTTCCAAGTCACCCGATTACAGTGTTCATTGAAGCTGAACATCCAGCCTGAGAAAGTTCTCACCAGAGAGTGATCTGTATTTCCGTTCTAAATTTTATCTGGTTTTGGTGTGTACTTCAATGTAGAAACCAAGATTGAAGGCTGTACCTAAAGAAGCTTCCAGAGAAGAAGGTTTCCAGAGGGGCCCCAAAGAAGTGATGGTACTGAAAGCAACAGAACCATTTGCATATGCTGTCAGCAAAGGGGAGAGAAAAATGTTTCACGCCACAGTAGCTGCTGACAACCAGTTCTTCCAAGTGAAGGTTTTTGATGTCAACCTGAAGGAGAAGTTCATTCCAAAGAAAGTCATTGCTATATCAGACTATATTGGCCGCAATGGGTTTCTGGAGGTGTACAATGCCTCATCTGTGTCTGATGTTAATGCTGACCGAAAGATGGAGATCTCAAAAAGCTTGATTGCAAATGCAAATGCAACTCCTAAAATCAATCGTCTGTACTTGCAAGCTCCAGGAACATTTGTGAATGGGGTATATCAGGTGCATAAGGTAAGACCACACTCTTGTTTTGTGACATTTCTCCTGTAATATCAGAATTTAAAAGTCTTAACTTGCCATTTGGAGAGTGGTTAAAGTCCTAAACACAGGAACTCAGTGTCCCCCTGACCACTTCAGGATCTAAGAGAGATGATCTCTGAACATTGTTCATCTCAAGGTAACAACATGCAAGTTCTGTGGAGATTCCCCAGAAATCTTGTTTTGTTTTTTTTTTTTTTTTGGCTATGATGATCCATTGACAGCCACCTTTGGACAAGACAGTGCAGAGTTTCGATCAATATATACATCCTTATGATTTAGTTTCTTTGAGTTCTGCCTCATCTGTTTCAGTGACAGCTTAATTGTGCATAAAGAATTACTCTCTTAAGTTTGGTTTCCAGTTGTGACAACCAGACTAAGAAATCAATCGACTACTCTGCCCTAGAATGCAGTTCTTCCAACAGGTAGCTGAGACTCTGGTCATCTGAACTCTAAAGTGCTCTTACCTCTTCATATTATCCATCAAAAAATTGTTGAGCAACTGACTTTGGCATTAGCTAATAAGAGAAATACGGACATTGAAAAGAATAGAGAAATCGTGTAGGTTAACACTTCAATGTATGAATACGGACAACAAAATGCAGAATTTTGGTGAATTGTTAGAATTAGGATAGATATTTCAGTCCAAAACATCATAGAAGTACTAAGTTTAGCTGACCTAACTTTTTATATGAAGTATTGTTTTATACTCCATTGTATGTCTTCTGGGGTGTCTCTTTACTTTTACCCCTGTTGTTTTCCGCACACTCTGTTTAAATGACTGTGCACATATATGCATTTGTAGAATTAAGGAGTAAAGTAAGTAAGATAGAAACAAGAACAGTGGGACTAGATGATTTAGAGTCAAGATTTGGGCAGATTGGTTAAGAACGAATAAATAGAGAAGATAGAAGAAAGAATTACATATTGATATTACAACCTACTTAATGAGGACTTGCTACAATCTTTCTCAAACTTATAAAGAAGCATGAATGGCCTTCCTTCTCTGTTCTCTGGTAGGTGACAAGAAACCTGTAAAGATTATCAGATCCCACTACAGTCATGTGTTGCTGTATGTTGGGGATACATTCTGAGAAAACATCCTCACGCAATTTCGTTGTTGAGGGAACATCATAGAGTATACTGACACAAACCTAGATGGTATAGACTACTACACACCTAGGCTGTGTGGTTAGTCTTTTGGGACCACCTTCTTGGACCAAAACCTCATTATGTGGCATTTGACTATATGTCCAAGTTCCTTAAGAAATGTCAGCAATTCTCAGATGGAAGCAGGAAAAATTAGGAAAGTAATCAATTCTTCTGGAAGAACCTAGGAGACAAAGATCTATAAGAAGGAAAGCTAGATAGAAGATTCAAAAGGGAGAATTCTCTGAAAGAGATATGTTAAGTTATTTGGTACCTGTAATTCTGGACCTACAGCTCATAAATTAACTTATCACAGAAAAAAGTTTCACTAACACTGCGTGTTTCTCATAGATGTGGATATTGCCGATTCAGTTCTCAGAGGATGAATGTTGTCTTTCTTTTGCAGAAAACGGTTAGGAATCAATTCGTTTATTATGAAATAAAAGATAATACAGGGAAGATAGAAGTCAGGATGTATGGACGACTGGCCCAAATCAACTGTGAGAAAGGCGATAAACTTAAACTAACTTGCTTTGAATTGGCATTAAGTGAGAAGAAGTGGCAGCTGAGATCTGTAATTCACAGTTTCGTCAAGGTGGGAACTTCTGGGGGAACATCATCCTTCTAAAGTAGAAGACTTTCAGAAAACTAAACTGCTGCTATTACTCAAAGAATCAAACAGGTGGAAAAAGAACTAATCCTTCTATTTAAGTGGGTGTAAACATTCTTTCTTTCCATCAGTCTTTCTTTTTAAAAGAAGGATATTTTTAATCAAATTGAAGAGAGAAACTCCGGATAGACATCAAAAGGATATTATATCTATGCTAAATATGTAGAATTGGTCCCATTTATCAAAGCAGGGAGATTAGCAAATTTGGGCTTCATTAGAGCATATTTGTTTCAAATACTCCCTCTGTGATTTGCTAGTTGACTAATGAAATTAAACACTAGCAACCTCAGGCTCATCATCTATAAAATGGAGGAAATATCTTCTATCTCAGAGGATACTTAATAGAGCTTATACGAGATTAAGTGATCAAGGATGCCCCTGAGCATCTGAGAACACAAAGTCACCTGCCTTTTGTGAGCTACACATTCTGGTCAACAACAAACAGAGGTGGTTGATTCTACATGACGTAGTTCATATTCCTTGTCAGACTCATGCACACATGCATGCGGAATTCTTGGAATACTAACAAAGGCTAATAATGAAATACAAACAGATCAAATACAAAGGTTGACGTTTCTAGACACACATGAATGCACATGCTCTTGGGTCTTTCTAGTTCTCAGGACCATCAATCAAACATTCCAAATCTTCCCTCACTGCATTGCACCAGGATACCTTTTGCATCCTCCTCCCACCTTTCTTCCCTTCCTTCCCTGTCTTCCCAGGAAGAACATTCCCTTGAGCTCTTAGCATGAGCACCTGCTCCTTCCTCTCTCCTGTTGTTCCCCACACCTCCTGCCTGTCCACAAGTACTCATGCTGGGCATGAGTGAATATCGCATTTCAGGGTCCCAACCAAGAGGAGGGGGTGGTGACTCAATAAACAGGACATCTTTAAAGAAGATAGGTGAGAGTGAGAGAAGAACCTTTTAGAATGGAAGAGAGAAAAGGATACAGCCCATGGAAAGGAGACAGTGTGAGTGAAGGGAGAAATTCATGATGAGCTGTATCTCAACTGGTCTGTCTTAATCTCTTTCTTCTTCAAGGTCATCAAGGCCAGGAAAAGTAAGAGACGACCACGCAATCCTTATTCATATATGAAAACCTCACTAGAGTTCTCCTAAAAACCTGGATGCCATTAATAATGATGTTTATGGAGTTAAGATCTAAGCACAGAAAGAAATATATATGGTTGACATACAGCAATGTATATGCCAGCTATTAATTCTATCAATGGGGTGTTACAGGTGCTTTTTGTTTTCTTTTTTATATTTTTCTGTGCCAATTCAATGCCATATTTTATATCTATATTATTTATAATTCCCCCCAAAATAATAAAAGTTATTTTTTCTCTAAAGGAGTGTTTCCTCAGGAGTCTAATTCATTGATGATGTGGCCTGCACATCAGGGTGGAATACACAGGCCCCAAGCAATATTTGGGCTTATACTTTGGGTGTGATCTTTACAGGATAAGGCTCTGATCAAGAATGGACTGGTTGAACAGACTGTGCTGTGCTCAAAGAAACCCAGCAAGGCAACAAACAGGGACTGAAATCCAGTCTGACCTTCAATTGCCAAACCCTGTGTCAGCGTTGCTTTAGTCCAGAACAATAAATATCTTTTCAGAATTGGTCTCCTGAAGGAGGAATGACTGGTTATTTTCTCTGGTAAATGAGGCAGCTTCTGGTGATTTGCACGAAGACACGAGTATAGGTTGGAAGCAGTTCTAACCCTGTCTGATGAGAAATAACCAGTTCCAATCCTTACTCAAGTACCAACAGCTCAGGAGCTCTCCAACTACATTTCCTGGTTCTCACATTTCTCATATGTGGATTCCATCAGGAAGTTGCCCCAGGCAAAGACCTGCATTAGGCAAATACTGAAGAATAATTAATTCACTTTAGAGTACAATGACAGAAAGTAGATATCTAAAACTGAAATTTGTAATATATTTAGGAATCACGTATTTGATACCTGGCATTTTACATTTATTTTGTGTCACTTAATCTTCTAGTTCCAGAGTGTTGATAGTGCTCTCCTTTTTATTTTTCTAATAAGAAAGACAAGTAACAGGCAAACAAAATCAGTTTCCTAATGATGGTTAGATGGTAAATCATAGTCCTTAATTTAGAATCCAGCCTATTGTTTTGGTTTGGGATAAATGTGTTAGGGGGAGGGGAATGTGAATGTGGCAGAAGTGGTGAAGGATAGAACGTAAAATTTCCCACCATGAAGGTCCAAAGCTATTTATGCACAATTAATCAAAGGAAAACTGGCATTACATTTCTACTTTTATGATTGGGGCCAGAGATTCCAGGAATAATGAGCTGTTTTCCCTTGTGCTGCCTCCTTTCTGATTATGTCTCATTTATCATGGTAGGCTAATATGCCAAGAATAAAATTTAGAACTTTTTTTATTTCCTTGCCCAATATCATTCTAACAACATTCACATACACATATTTTTTCAAGATAATTTTGGGAAACCAGATTTTGAAGGAACTTAGAAGTTATGGGATCTAGTTTTCTCATCTGCAATGACAAAACTAAAGTTCAGAGAGATTGAGTGAAAAGCTCAAGATCACAACATCACTCAGCTCATTAGGAAACAGATTTCATACTAAGATGTCTCAGACTGCTAAGACTTCCTCCAAATAAAATTTGACCCATGGACACTGAGGAAAAGGACTGCTTCATACACAAATGACATTTGTTTTCCGAGTTATTCTAAAACTTCATATACTTATTACTTTAAGTAAACTTCCTGTAATTGACTATTCTTGAATATGTATATGATGGCGATTAGCAGTTAGAGAAGGAGTCATTTCAGGGATCTGCCCAATCAATGTCTTTGCTATCCCTAATGTCATGCTGATTCCCCTTTGAACTTGTCGTTTCCAAGGACAGTGTGTCTCTAAATGAGAAAAGCACCCAAAAGAGTTTGCCTCTTCGATTTTGTTTTCACTTAAATAGCTTCATCTTCAATTTCTCATGCCTCGACCCCATTCTATCTTCTACTTTTGCACATTGCCATGTATTGGAGCTCCTCCTTGGGACCAGCATAATGCAGGTAAGGAGCTGGAGCATCCCTTAGATTTGAAGTGTTTAGACCAAAGAGAAGGTCATGACAGATTGTGGAAATTCTTACCTGCCTTACACCTTAGGGATTTGGGTTGTACCAAGTGGTTTTAAGGTATGCAAGAGGCAGAGAGCTATCTCTGAGAGGATCTCTAGAGCATCAAAATATGACTATGATTAGAAGAGGCATACCCAACTCTATTGGCAATGTTCTTTCTCTGAACTTGCATGATGAGACATGCATTACTTTTTATACCTTTTACATGTCTTATAACTTCTATGATTAATTTTATTTTATTTTTTTGTTGTTGTTGAAACTTTGGAAGATTTTTCAAGCTATTTATAATGATGCATATTAATTTTATAAAGGAAAAATTTTTTAAACTTCCTACCAGTCCCATGAGGCAAATACAAATGTTTTTTTTTTATCTTATGCTAATCAGTGGAATATAGCTTTCTAAAACAATCCATTTTATTTTTTATTTATTTATTTTTTAATTTTTATTTTTTCAGATATACATCATATTTCAAATTCTGTGTACATTACATCATGTTCACCACCCGAACACTAATTACAGTGCATCCCCTCACATGTGACCCTAATCACCCCTTTTGCCCTCCCTCCTCCCCCCTCCCCCAATAGTAACCACCAGTCCAATCTCCAATGCTATGTGTGTTTTTTTTTTGTCATTTTTATCTTCTACTTATGAGTGAGATCATATGGTATTTGACTTTCTCCCTCTGACTTATTTCACTCAGCATAATACCCTCAAGGTCCATCCATGTTGTCACAAATGGCCGGATTTCGTCATTTCCTATGGCTGAGTAGTAGTCCATCATGTATAAATACCACAACTTCTTTATCCATTTGTCCCTTGATGGGCATCTAGGTTGCTTCCAAGTCTTGGCTATTGTGTATAATGCTGCAATGAACATAGGGGTGCAAGTATCTTTATGCCTTTGTGTTTTCAAGTTCTTTAGATAAATACCCAGCAGTGGAATAGCTGGATCATATGGTAGATTTATCCTTAATTTTCTGAGGACACTCCAAACTGCTTTCCATAGTGGCTGCACCAGTTTGCACTGCCACCAGCAGTGTACGAGGGTCCCCTTCTCTCCATATCCTCTCCAACATTTGTTGTTTCCTGTCTTATTAATTATAGCCATTCTGACCGGAGTGAGGTGATACCTCACTGTAGTTTTGATTTGCATTTCCCTGATAGCTAATCATGTTGAGCATTTTTTCATATGCTTGTTGGCCATCTGTATATCTTCTTTGGAAAAAATCTCTGTTCAGATCTTTTGCCCATTTTCTAATTGGATTGTTGGTTTTTTTGTTGTTGATCTGTATTAGTTCTTTGTATATTTTGGATATTAACCCCTTATCTGATATGTGGTTTGAAAATATCTTCTCCCAATTGTTAGGTTGTCTTTTAGTTTTGTTGATGGTTTCCTTTGCTGTGCAGAAGCTTTTTACTTTGATGTAGTCCCATTTGTTCATTTTTTCTTTTGTTTCCCTTGCCCGGTCAGACATGGGACTTGAATCCATGATTAATTTTAGAAGCCATTTCTAAATTTTTGTCTACTCCTCCATAAAATAAATGACTATATTCTTACAATAGAAAAATTCAAGTAATTTAAAATCCTTGTTGAAAACCAGAGCAATTATACTTTAAGAACCAAAGAAAATCACCATCTTTGGTTTACTGTGAATCCTTCCAGACCTTTTATCATTAATTTATAGGTGATTATGTACATAAAGAAATGCACTTTTATATAGAAATTGTGATCAGTATGCTTGAGTTCCCTCATTTGTAAAAATAGGGCTAATAATAGTACTTATATAATAGGGCTGTCATGGACATTGTAAGGGAGGAAGAAATATTCCTCTCCACTTCTAGGATCTTCTGGCTAGTATAAGAATTAAATAGACATAAGATAAAATGACAGGAGAAAAATCAAACAAGTTTAATAGCATGTATACATATGCGAAATCCAGGAAAACTGAGTAACTCACCAAAAAGACCAAAGCCACTACTTTAAATACCATCTTCTGCTAAGAGCAAAGGAAGATGTCGAGGATGGTTGTCTGGGACTTCAAAAGGGAGGAAAGCAATTCACACGGAGATGTTTGGTGAATGAATGTTTGCCATGCCTTACAGAGACAAAAGAGAGGACTTTGATCAAATGGACCTTACTAGGTTCCTCCCTGTCTACCACATCTAGCTCATATTATACTATAGTTATCTTTGATGATAGCTGCTTCCTGGAATAGATCTTCTGTCTTAATTTCTTTTAGGCAGTTAGAGGGAATGTCAAATTTTCTTCCTGAGTTTTTTGTTCTTAAAAATAATTAAGCCAAAGAGACACATTTGCAGTTGCAAATTCTGCTCCCCTGCGACATTATGTGAGGCCATCTATATAAAGCACTTAGCAATTAGATAATGTAATCATTGGATTACTGGATATTATTAATGTAATGGGTGAGAAATATTCACTTTTAAAAATACATGTGGCTTGGAGAGTGATGTCAGCATCATGGCGGAGTGAGATCTTCCCTCAGACTCTCCCTCCTAAAATACAACCCAAAAGATATTCCAACACCAATAGAGGACATACACACAACACAGGAGATGCCTGAAGGTGGTGGTGAGGCTGGATCCTGCGGAAGAAGGTAAAGTTGCTCAGCAGGAGCTCAGCGGAGAGAGAAGAGCCACAGCTAGAGGGGTGGCTCAGCTAGGGAGAGGTGCTAAGGGAGTTCATCGCCACAAGACCCCCACTACAAGAAATCGTTAAGAAGGCTCTCATACCTGAAAGAAAAAAAGGAAAACAGGAAAAGGTCTACAAAGCCCTGAGCAAGGATATGAATAGATATGCAACCATCAGAACTCGGCAACTCTCTATCAGATCAGGTTGGTAAACATTTAACTCTTACATCAAGGATAAAGAAAAAGAAAACACCAAAATAAAAATTATATCATCACCTTAACCACAAACTCACAAGAAAAGATGGAATAAGATATGACAAAAATAACTTAAAAGGGGAAGAGGAAAGGGATGGAATCAGTATAGTGTAAGGAAATAAGAGGCAATCAGAAAATGGACTATCTCATCTTTGAGACTTTTTATACAAACCTAATGGTAACCACTAAACAAATAAGTAGAACAGAGACATATATGATAAACAAGAAGAAAATGAAGAAAACCATAATCAAATAACAAACTAACAGAACAAGAACGCAAAAATACAATGCCATTTACAATCACAACAAAAAGAATAAAATATCTTGGAATAAATTTAACCAAGGAGGTGAAAGACTTATACAAAGAAAACTATAAGACGGTACTGAAAGAAGTTGATAATGACATAAAGAAATGGAAAGATATTCCATGCACATGGATTGGAAGAATAAACATAGTTAAAATGTCTGTATTACCTAAAAGTAATCTACAGATTCAATGCAATCCCAATCAAAATCCCAATGACATTCTTCATAGAAATAGAACAAAGAATCTTAAAACTCATCTAGGGCAACAAAAGACCCCTAATAGCCAAAGTAAGACT